GGATCTGATTTCTGCGATTTTTTCAAGGGTCAAAATGGTCTCTGCCAGCGTGGTTCGCTTCCTGCATAGTCGCTGCTAGGTCGCCAGTCGTCCAAAATGGTCTCTGCTGGCTCCCCCTTGTCCAAAGTGTCCTCTACTAGCCTGCCCACGTTCCTAAATTATATCTGCTAGCTTGCCCCGTGCCGATAACGAGTTTTTGATGAATTCCTCAAAAAAATTTCTACTAGCCTACCTCTCCCGCGGCCAATGACACAAACTACAAACTACAAAAGGCTGTTCTCTGAAATCTGACGTACCCCTACTTTCCACTTCTAGTACATTCCAGTACGCGCCCGCCGGGCTACAAAAACCTAGCCTCGGGGCCTGGAAAAAACTGTCTCGATTCGGGGTAGTTTGGATATGAATACAAAAACAGCAATAGATTTTGAAGAGTGAAAACTGAAAATCAGGAATGTTGTTAAAAGCCGAAAATCCGGAAAAAAATTAGAAATTTATAGCGGGACGTAATCCCTCAAAGAATCTCTGCTAGCTTGTCGGGTGTCGTATTACTCAAAGAATCACCGCTAGCCTACCGTTTTTTTTCAATTCGTTGCTAGCCTGTCTTTCCCAATCAATCTCTGCTAGTTTCCCTTATGTACAATTGTTCAAAAATTCTTCAAGAGTCGCTGCTAACCTGCATTTCCCTAAGAATCGTCGCTAGCTTGCGTGCTTGCTCTACTGTAATTCAGAAAATTCCTCAAAATCTTTGCTAGGCTGCCTTTCCCTAAGAATCTGTGCCGATTTTCCCGATATACAGTAGTTTAGGATGTTCCTCAAAGTGTCTCTGCTAGGCTGTCTATCCCCAAAGACCTCAGCTAGCTTGCCTTTCACTAACAATCTCTGCTAGCCTGCCTTTCCCTTAAAATCACCGCTAGCTCGTCGGATCTACAGTAATGCGCAACTTTCCTCAAAGAATCTCTGCTAGCTTGTCGTTCCTCAAGGACCTCTACTAGTCTACATTTCCCTTAAAATCTCTGCTAGCCCGCCCTTCCTCAAGAATTTTTGATCTACAGTACCACAGAAAAATCCTCAAAGAACCTCTGCTAGCCTGCCCGCACCCAGGAAGTCGTCACGAACCGCCCCAGACGAACTTTGATCCGCGGAAACCCTCCGGAAAAACAGCAGCTGAATTTAGAATAGAGATTTGAGAAAACAAGGTAACCTGGTGGGGGGCATTGGTGGGTCCTGTCGAGAGATGGCTGGGGGGCCCACCTCCGAAGGGCCAAAACTGGGCCCCCGCGCTCTAACTCAATTTGGCCATTCACGCAGGGGGCACAGCTACGGGACATTCCTGTTGACGTACTCTCTGACTGGTGGGGGTGATTACCGGGATTGGAAATACCAGGAATCCTGGCAAGCTAGCAGAGATTGTTTAGGAATCGACGGTATGCTATGGGACATTCCTGTTGAATGATCTCTGCTAGCTCGCCGAGCATGCACGGGGCAATCTAGCAGGGATTCCTTGGGAAGGCCAAGCTCTGTTTCCGGGCAAGCTATCGGAGGGACTTGAGGAATCCTGGGTTGTGGGAGCTAGCAGGGATCCTTGAGGAATTCAGCAAGACAAACTAGCATAGATCTTTGAGGAAGCGATAAGCTATAAAATAAAACTTACTAAAGAATCTGCTAGCCTGCCCGTGCCGACGTAGGCAACCTATCAGTGATCCTCGAGGAATTCACCAGGCAAACTGGCAGTTCCTAAATAATCTCGGCTAGCCCTTCCAGGGGGGAGGCAAACGAGCAGAGGTTCCTGAGGAGCCCCAAAGATTCTCTGCTAGCATGCACCTCCCTAATCCAAAATTGAACCTATTGACCCGGCTAAATTTCTAGAAACTTCAGTGCTACTTGAAATTCGCGACCTTTTCCTGGGCCCACCAATTAGTTGAATTTGTATAAGAAAGGACTGGGGTCCCGCAACGATGAACACGGAATACAAATTTCGAGGCGACAGAGAGACAGGGAGAGCGAGAGAGAGAGAGGGACAGAGAGAGAGAGAGAGAGAGAGAGAGAGAAACTGGCAATAAGCCCTCCGCGCGCGGCATTCAATTAGGGCGCTAAACGGAATTTCCGACACTCGGCGGGGTTGATGAAACATTGAACATAATGGTACCGGATCCAACAAAACACGGCTTTTGCAAAGTGGCAGGCCAGCAGAGAAAATTTGGGGAATTGGAGGGGATAGATGGGGATAGATGGGAGCAGCGGGCAAGCTAGCAGAGGTTCTTTGAGATTGGAAAACGGCCAGTCAGGGCGAAAAGCCTATTTCCGGTACTTTGGATGAAGGGCAAGCTAGCAGAGTTTCTTTGATCTTCTGAGACCAAAGCAGGCTAGCAGAGGTCATTTGCGGAGTTTTCGGGCCCATTGCGACGAAGGGCAAGCCAGCAGAGATTATTTGAACTTCCTAAAATGCCTAATTACACCAAAAATCATATTCTCCGTGTTTTGGATGCAGGGCAGGCTAGCAGAGTCGATTTTCGGAATTTTAGAGCGTCATCGGAAAGTGGCAAGCTAGCAGAGATCCTTTGACATCGATAAACGGGGATTTTTCGAGGCAAGCTAGCAGAGACCCCTTGGTCCTGTTGAACGCCTAATTACCCCCAAAAAACCCGTGATTTTTCTGAGTCACCAAAAGTTACCCTGTACTTTGGCACGTTGCGTAGTCGTGGGCCCCGAATTTCTCAAAATCCCTGTGGGACCCCCCCCCCCGGCCTGATAATTACGGTGTGCCCTTGCTGGTGAAAGGAAATTTCGGATCTTGGGCCCAAAACTGAGCCGGACAAAATTAAATTGGATTTTGGGGGTTTTAGAAAAATTAGAAAATGTTCGGATCAGCTACAGTACCCTCTAGATAGTTGATTAGGGCAAAATGAGGTATGGAAAGTGCTCAAAAACGGATTAGAGGGGTCATTGGGGAATTCTAGCGTTTTCTGCCTCTTCTCTCTCTCTTTCGGTCTCTCTCTCTCTTTCTGTCTCTCTCTCTCTCTCTCCCCCAAATGATCTCTGCAAGCTTGCCTTCACTAACGTTAAATTTAAATTTAGATACCAGTAAAAAGTCATTTTCTTTTGTTGTAAGATTAACCCACCTTGTAGTAGCAAAAAATATACTTTTTTCAGGGCCCAAATCGATACGGTAGATGGGGGTTCTTCGAAATGGCCAACCTGAAAATGGGGGACCCCGGGAAAATAGTCGTTTTTCCCAGCAGGTGGACTCTCTCTAGGCGAGAGAGAGAGAGAGGAGAGAGAGAGAGACTGAGAGAGAGAGAGAGACTGACACCAATAATTACAATCTACTCAAAAAATGGGCCCTGCCTGATTGCCCGTTCCAACTATATCCCGCCCTGTAATGACCGCCTTGGCTACTGTTTTTCAGGAAGTATTTTTCAGGGACTCGGCATCTTGAGGGATCGAACGACATCGAAAAAGCTGTGGAGAAGCGAAGAAAAAAAATTGAACAAGAACGAGCCAGACTTACGCCTGGGCTTAAGCTTAGGCTGAGACTTAAAAAGAACCAGGGTTTCGCGGTTCTTTCGCATTATCGGGGGGACCAACTTTTTTCTTGAAATCTAATTGCCTAATATAAATAGTGGCAGTGTTTCTAAATGGTTTTTTTCTATTCCTAAACGTGAAAACTTTGCCAAATTTCATTAGCACAGGTAGGAAAAAATTGATTTTTGACCAAAATTTCGACGTTTCAAAACTTTTTAGATAGTTTTAGTTGAAATATGGTTATTTTTTACCAAAAACACCATTAAAACATTTGCTATTAAGTTACTAGGCGTTTTAGGATTATGCAACTTCGCCCCTATGGCGCAGAACCGTTGTTGGGTTTGGGCTTACTTTTACTTCCGTTTCTCAGATCTTTACAAGTACTGACTCGAAATTTCTGAGCTTTTTTAGTGATTGCCAAGATTTGGAAGGCCCAAAAATCATTTTTCTATGGTTTTTAACTCTAAAAATGTGCGTGCGATAAAGAAAAACCGATCTTCTTGATCCCATAATTGTTTAGGTCTACAAAATTGGATTTTTAAGCCCCTTCTGAGCCTTAAGGCTCAGAAGAGATTTCTCCTTTGGCTTAGCTTCGCCGTTGACTTAAACTTGTTTTTCGGCGCGCAAATCTGACCAAAATGAAGCTTCCCATCGTTTCTTGTCGATTTTTATCTAAAAAACGCGCGCGAAAGTTCTTTTCTAGCTAGAAAGACTATTTAAAACTTTTAATTGAGGTTCTAAGATTGCATTTTAGATATATTTCCTCTTCTGCGCCTTATTTCTGATCTTTTGATTCAGACACGCGCTCTTTCAATGCCTTCTCATTTTTCTGAATCTCAATTTGATGTATAACACGTTCTCCTTCTTCTTTTCCGTGCTTTTTGTCCGGTTTCGCCTTTTATAAGCTTTTTTCAGGTAATGAAATCGAAAAATGAAGCTGCGAAGGAAGCGCCGGCATCGGATTGCCATCTTCAACGAGGGAAGCACGAGTCGAGAAGAAGAATCGACGATTCGTTCCGAGAAGGTGAGAAAATTTGTCGAAAATTTTCGACCTCGGTGGGCTGAAAATTTTCCCAAAATTTTCGGCTTTCTCGGCACGCGCAGCATTCTGAAATATCATTTGATTTCTCCTCAAAACTATTTCGAAACTATTTTTGAGCAAAACTTCAGATTCTCGTTAGCTTTTACGTCGGTACCTTCATTTTATTAGCTACTGTCTTATCGAGTTTTCCTTTTGCTCTATATTTACTCAATTATCCTTATTTCAATTAGGCTTTTTTGCTCTATTTTTTCGACGTCATCTAATTCCTTTTTCCAGGTATGATGTCGCCTTCAACGCTCGACAAGCAAAAGAGTTGCCGAAGGTGCCGGCCGGCTGGCTGCTCAAGCTGCCGCCCAACGTCTTCAACAACATCGCCGGATTTCTGGATTCGTCGTCCCTTCTGCAACTCGCCAATGCGCATGACGACCTTCAGAAGATGGTACGCGAGTCGGAGAAGCATTGGAAGGACGTCTTCGTCTCCGCTGGCACTTTCTGCATCGACTATGAATGCTACGACAAGGGAGAAGCCGAGATTCTGCTCGCCAACGCTAAGATTGACAATTACAAGGAGGACGAGAGCGTGGCGGATGCTCGTGGATTGATCGAGCTGCCCGCCGAGTTGATCATGTCGATTCTCGAACCGCTGAACTTTCTGAGTTTGCTGGAAGTGGAGAAGTGCCACAAACGATTGGAAGCGCTAGGTCGCGGTCTGCCTGTCGCATCCGTGCACACGGTACGGCGGGATGACGACGGCTTTTTTGACGACCCGCAACCTGACGGCGGGTGGGATGTTGGCGAAGTCGAGGAAGAATGGCTGCGCCTCGACAATATTTCCCTGCTGGATGGTCGCCATGTCAACACCGTGTACTACGAGTACAACTCTGTTCCTGAAGCGCAAATCGACCTGAAGCCAGGCTTCACTTGCACAAACTTCGTTTATGTGGACATTGATTGGGAAGGCGATGACATGTATCTGGATGCCCAGATACTAGGAGACTGCCTGAAACCGGAATATATCTCGGCTTCGTATTGGTTCGATGCCCTGAAAGGATGTGATTTGTCGAAATGCTCGCTATGGATCGGCCGCCTCAAGTTGGAACACTTGCAATACGCTAAAACTTTGCAATCACCTCGACTCGCTCTTGAGTGCGAACGCACAGGTGAATACCTCCTGCAACTGCTGTTCCTCTACATCGACGAGTGGCAGACCGGCCGACGGGAAATCGAGACGATTTTGGTTTGGCCTCGTTACTGGCGAGACGGTCATCGAGATGGCGCGTATTTGTTTGACTGGAACAAGGCCGGTGTTGATGACGAGCCGGCATTTGACGAGGTTGCGATGCCCCGTTTGGCCGAAAAATACAAGTTGGCGACGGATTCGGAGGGTATCGTTCGAGGACAACTGAAACGAGATGACGGAAAGATGCTCAACATTCGGGCCCGTGGAGACGCCATTGTTCTGCAGACTCCCGGCGCTACGACCCAATTCCTGCGGGTTGACGAATGTGTAGTCTATTTCGGAGATTTTGTAACCCAGGAGGAGATGACGTACTTCAAAGCCCCCGACTTCTAAGCCATTTTCCGCCATCGACATCGAAAGCGCATTGCTATTTTTATTTGTTTGGTTTGAATTCTTTTACGTTTCGCTTGCCTGCCCGATAAATACTTGTTGACCGTTTCATTGCATCGTTTTGGCGGTCTAGACTCTCTATAATTCACAAAGCTGAAAATAATTTCGATATGTTCAATTTGACATTGAGAATTGAAATTGAAACGGTTTGTTTAAGACCTAGCGTTCTTTTTCCTAAATTTAGTTCGTATAATTTAGCATTATAGCTTTTCGATTCTTGCTTTTCACTCGTTCTTTCTGTAACTCACGTTCTCTTCCTTCTTTTGCGTCTTTTTGATTAGATTCCGCCTTTAATCCATCTTTTTCAGGTAATAGACCGCGCAAGAATGTTTTGAAGGACGGCCCGTCAGCACGTCGTCTTCATCAACGAGGAAAGGACGGGCGAGCAGAAGAAGGACAAGCCCAACACGCCCAGGTATTTTACTTTCGCTTTGTCTTTATCGGCAACTTTTTTTCCACCGCTTCCTCTGTAAAATCGGGGTTTTTTTGGCAGAAAACTGAAACTTTCTGAGTTTTCGTCCCAAAAACTTTTTTCTTTTCTGTTTCTCAATCTTCTAAGGCTTTTCGGGCACGTATTGGCTTCGCAATAGCAATTAAAACCTGATTTTCTGCCCTATCATTTTCTCGCCGCGCTTTTGTTTAAGTTGATTCCCTTTTTTCAGTTGCCGAGCGGTCACTTGGAGATGACGCGCTCATCGTGCGCCTTCTGGAACTACAAGTCGAGCCCGATCGTCGCCCTCTACATCCCCAACTTTGCCCACGAGGTTTGTTGCCTTTTATCGCAGATGTCGAGGTGCGAAAGAGCTGTAAAAAGATATTTCTGGAGTGAAATCGATTCGTAAAAACGTTTAGACATCGGTCGTAGCTTTCGCTTTCTCTCGTCTCGGGCATATTTTCGGGCGAATTGAGCTAATTTTTAAGTTTTTCGAGCTTCTGCCAAGCTTTCGGCGTAACGTAGAGATTTTTAGGCATGGAAATGGGTTTTTTTTAGTTTCTAAGCTAGTACCAGGTTTTTTTCAAACCAAACATCTAACCTTTTCCGAGTTTGCTGAGTTTTAGAGCTTCTGAGGAATAATTAATGAACCATTTTACGAATTTTTAAGATAATTTTAACCTTTTCAGGCGGCGCCATGTTCCTCGACGTCCGCTGCAACGACACGGGCGTGCTGACCAATTTTGAGGAACAAAAGGTACCTGTTTCCTCAAGAATCTTTGTTAATTTGCCTTTTTCTAGCAAACCGTCATCCGGCACTCGACGAAGGGCCGTGAGCGCGTCAAGCGGATGTGCGTCGAGATGAAGAAGCGGCATCGTCCTCACTTCCGGTACCTTTCTTGAATAGTTTAATTAAGCATCCTTAGTAGCTCGTTCTTTTATGTAAAAAGGCGCTGCAAAAAGGTGTTTCTAGAGTGAAATCGTTTCACAAAAACGTTTACAGTCGTAGCTTATTTTAGCTTTCTCCGGGGCTTGTTTTCGGGCTAGTTAAACTAATTTGAAGTTAGTAAAGCTTCCGCCAGGCTTTCGGCGTAAGTTAGTGCTTTTTAGGCGTGGAAATAGGTTTTTTCTAGTTTCTAATCCGGTACGACATTTTTTTAAACTATTTCAGCGCTTTTCCGAGTTTTCTATATTTGCTAACGTCAAACTTTAATTTTTTTCAGGCGTCCCCCTCGCGCTCCATGTTCGTCGACGTCCGCTGCAACGACACGGGCGTGCTGACCAATTTTGAGGAACGAAAGGTACCCGTTTCCTCATGAATCTTTGCTAATTTTCCTTTTCTAGCAAACCGTCATCCGGCGCTCGTCATGGGGATGTGCGCGTCGAGATGCAGAAGCTCCACGGCCCCGGCGCTGTCCCGGTACATTAGTTGAATCGCGTTATTGTGGCCACCAGTTGCTTTGTTTTCTAAAAAGCCTAATTTTGCATTGAAAACGATGTTTTTTAACGTTTTTCTCGACCAGGACAGAGGCGCTTTATCATTTTTGTTACCGTTCTATGCCAAAAGGATGCGTTCGATCCTGATTGAGACCTCGCCAAACTTTCTACGCTAGGTTGGGCTTGAAAATTATTTCCTACAGCTTCCTGGCCTATTTGATTAACATTTTTAGAGCCTTAGGACTCTCATCAATGAGTGGAACATATTTTAACCTCGAAAACTGAATTTTTGTTAGGATAATACTGTTTTTTGGCATTTCGGTATCGATTACGTCATTTTATCGCTATTTTTCAGGCGGTCTTGTCGCTGTTCTCGAGGCGACGGCAGCGGGAGGAACAACAACGGCACCCCGGATTGCCTAAGGTAATTGTTGGACTTTTCTTTTGAACATTTAAACTTTTCAGGTACAGCCGGACGACTCGATGATGCGCGACCGTTGTCGCTGCGCAACGACTTCAAGACGAGCGACGACGCTTCTTCGTCACCGCTTCCTGATGGTATTTATAGCGTTTTTAGGATTTAGGTACATCCTACAATGGCCGGCGGGGCGACATGATGCTGAACAAGTTCCAAGGTTTGTTTTTTTTACTCCTTTCCGCCCGAAACCAGCTTTCCATTCATTACGCAATCAATTCACTTATTTCAGGGCCCGCATCGCTTCGTCGTCCTCAAGCAGCTCTTCATCAGCTCCGACGCCTTCTTCTCGGCTTCAAAGGTACAATTTTCTAGTCTAGCAAAGATTGCTTGATTTTAGGCAGTGGGCACACAGCCGGAAGCCGAGGAGAAGATGGACAGCGAGCTGATGGAGGACGGCGACGCCAAGGAGGACGATGAGGAGGTACTTTGACTTTCTTTACTTAACAAGCTTAGCTAGCTTGACTTCTTCTGCTTTTACGCTGTTCTTGCTAGTTTGTGGTGACTTACCTGACGTTGCCCAAGTCAGTCGACTTCCTTTTTATTAAGCTGAGCTTGGCGCGCTTCATTTTTCAAGGCTGCATAGACTTATGGCTGCCCTCCTTTGACGTTCTTGGCTTGATTTTAAGGAGGCCCTATAGCTACCGACTTAGCTGACTTGGTTTTGTAGCTTACCCGGCTTTCCCTTTTAGCCTTGGCTTGGCGCGCTTGGCTTTTGGGCTTGCAATTAATTATAATTTCGGGTTTTCAGGTACGCGCTCAACAACGTGCTCCAAAACTACTCGCCACGCCTCCCACAAATAAAAATAATGCTCTAATATTCTTTATAATGTTTATGAAATTCTATTTTTTACATCGCTCATTTCTCCTATATGACACCCCACAAATTATTCTTTGTACGTTCTTTGAATGCTTTCTGATCATCCCCCACTCGCCACCCATCTGGGCCACCGCAACAACACAACCCCCGGGCTGGGAGATGGCGAAACTGGGCCTAGCCCAATCCTCTAGTCGCGGGGGCGTGAAACTCTCTCTTCCCTTACCCGGCCACTTTGAGTTTTACAAATTGTGAATATTCCTAAAACAGGATTTTGTGAATTCTAAGTTGATAAAGAGTCCTATTATTAATAGCACTTCTCTACTCTATAAAGAATCATTGAGAATCTTCTATAAAGACACTCTATTAATGCTCCTCTACAAAGACACACTAATAGTATCTTCTCTCTCTATAAAGACACTATCATAACAGATAGTATCCTCTATAAAGAAACATATCTAATTGATACATTCTGAAATACAGTGAAATACTACCGTCCACCATCCCCCACCTCCTCCTACGGTTTTTCAAAGCACCTATAGTTTCGAAGTGGTCCAGACGGGTGGCGAGAAGAAGAATATCAGCGAGCATTCAAAGAACACTCGCCCTAAAAGATTAAAAATGGACCTCTGAATTAAAGAAAATTTGATTTTCTGATGATCCTCCCCATTTTCGGGGCTTTACCAAAATTGGGCGCCGGAAGAGGGGCCAGAGAGAGATATGAGAAAACGACAAGCAGAGCCTCGCCTAAGAAATAGCGGAAGCCGAGCAGAGCTCCACCTCGGACAAGCCGAAGCAAAGCCTGCCAGAGCTTCGCCTAACTTAGGCAACGCCAAGCCTGCTTTCAAACATAAGCAAGGGTAGACAGACCGGAAGTCGACTTAGCCCAAGCTCATGCTTGACTTCAAGGGATGGAGCTTCAAAGCTGAAGCCCCAACCTCTTTTTCCCCACTCTGTGATCAATCGAATCATCGATTGATCCGCCAGAGTGTGCCGTGAGTGCATAGGGGCAGCCCGAGAGCCACCCGGCTAGCAACGAAAATGGTTGGACCTTATGCCCAGACAGTGGGCCAGACGGGGGGCGAGTGGGACGGCGCAAAAGAAACAACCAGCGTGACTCCAATACTAGGCCAAAATCCGCGATTTTGGGCGTTTTAATCCGTATGCGGCATGTTTGACGTCTTCCGCTCGGTCTTCTAGAGGGTCAGCTAGCAGAGATCATTGGGGAGCTGGAGAAGCTCAATTTGGCGTTAAAAACAAGGAAAACGCACAAGTGGCTAGGTCAAAATTTCGACTTTTGACAAGGTTTCTAGCCGATTTCGGCAAATTCGACGTCTTCGGGTTCGTCAGCCAACAGGGTAGCTACTAGAGGTCATTTTTTGGCAGGAGAAGCTGCACTTGCTGATGCAGTAGTTCTGATCCTGAATTAAAATTTACGAACGGCAATACAGTTCTAAGCTTATTGTTAGCTTATCGATGTTTCGACGCAACGGATTTAGCCCGGGCAGCCAGCAGAGACGATCGGGGAGCAGGAGCAGGAGACTTTGAGGAGTAGCCGAACTTGCTGATGACGCCACAGTAGTTTTGATCCTAAATCAATTTACGCAAAGAAACAAAGTTCTGGCTTAGCTTTTAGGCGTTCCACGGAACGTCCTCGGCGCGGAACTAGCAGAGACCATTGGGGAGCAGGAAAAGTTGAGGAGTAGCCGGACTTGCTGATGATGCCGCAGTAGTTTTAATCCTTAATTAACTTTACGCGAGGAAACAAAGTTCTAGCTTAGCTTTTCAGCGTCTCCGCGTCTTCGGCAAGGGCAGCTAGTAGAGAAAATTGAGGCGAAGCTGGACTTGCTGGTGGCGTCGCATCATCTGAAAAGAAGTTATATTAGGAATCATCATTAAAACGTTCTTCTTCCGACTATAAGTCATGTTTTGCTACGAAAGTGCGTGACAGGGCGACGCGTGTCGTTAACCAGCCGAGAAATGGGGTATTTGAGGGGCGCGAGAGAGAAAGAGAGAGAAAGAGATAGATAGATAGATAGATAGAGAGAGAGAGAGAGAGAGAGAGAGAGAGAGAAAGAAAGAGAAACAATACCAGTTCTCGAGTCGTGCTCCCCAGAAACACAGAGAACCATCAACAATTTCGTATCAGTTCCCTGTACCCATAATTTTTAGCAATTCCCCAAGGAATCTCTGCTAGTTTGCCCTTTCCCCCAAGAACCCGTGCTGGTTTGCCCGGCATGAAAACAAACAGTTGGGCGTTGAAGAAAGGCGAGGGTGGGATAGGGGGATGCTCTATTTTTTGCAGGTCTTTGTTTGCAGAAATTGCCTTTCTCTCTCTCCCTCTCTCTCTCAACAATTTGTCCGATTTGCCAGTAACACAGAGAAATTTTAGTTTTTCCCAAACCTCCAAAAATTCCCCAAAAATCTCTGCCAGCCTGCCTATTGTGGTCAGGAGCTTCCTAATTGATTCCTGCTAAATCGCCCGTTTCTTAAAAAGTCTCTGCTAGCCTTAAAAAGCACGTAATTTCCTCAAGAATCTCTTCTAGCTTGCCAAAAAATTCCTCGAGCCGAGATAACGAAAGTACGCCAATTTCCTCAAGAATCCCTGCCAGCCTGCCCTGCCCTCTCCTAATAATCCGCTTGTTCCGCGGGGCTACTAATTCCGTTGGCTAACAAGACAGGTTCTTCTTTTGCTGCCAATGGAGGGGGCAGAGGGCAAATGCAGATTATAGGGAAGGGGGGCTGGTCTCTCTCTCTCTCTCTCTCTCTCTCTCTCTCTCTCTCTCTCCCTCTCTCTCACTCGCCAAGTGAAAGCATCGGCTCTTTTTGCATACGGGCGGCCGGTGGTTTCACTATGCCATTCATCAACCCCCCAATCGAATTTCACCTTCAATCATTTCTTTAACTAGATATTTCATGTCGTAATCGATTACGATACTTAAATTACTCCAATTTAAGCCTGAATTTAATCTCCTAATCGATTACGCTACTTAATTTCATCTATCCTTGAATTTTGCGGCTTTTAAAAGGCGATAATTACATTGCGCAATCGATTACGCTATGAAATTCTGCTTACAAATTAATTTTTAATTGATTTAAAAACCGTCTAAACTATTTTTTTGCTAATTTTTAACATTTTTAGGCGATGGGCAGCATACAGAGGTCAGTTCGGGGCGCGTTTCAACACGGAAAATTCGGAAACGACTTTTCGAATTGAAAGTTATAACAAATCTACTTTAATTTAGATCGTTCACCCTGTTCTCGTATCTATTCGCGCCGGCTAATCCACTGAAAAATGAGGGAAATATTGATGAGCAGCAACTCTACGTCATTTTGCCGGCAAATAACGCGTCCGCTGCAGCGCAGAGGCCACGCCCACTACCCGGGGTACGTGTCACTATCCCTTCAAATTTAGAAAAGGAATTTCTCGCGCCAAAAAACCAGGTTTCAAAGTTCAAAGTGGCCGTAAATCACAAAAATAAGCAATTTTTAGACTGAAAATAACACCTAAAATGCAAAATTTAACTTTCAAGGTCCTGAGGAAGTAAAAACTTGCTTCGCTGTCCCTCTAAAATTGGGGGAATTCTCAAAAATTTATGAAAAACCGGTTTAAAATGAGAAGTTAACGCAAAATAGTGAAACCTGTCTATTTTTAGACACCGATAAGTATTCAAAAAGGTAGAACGTCAATCTCTTTCATCTATAATACAAAAAAATCTAGTTTCTAATGCTCAAAAACCAAAAAAGCCAATATTGTCGTACCGGAAGCGAAGCGGGACCTTTAAAAATTGATCAATTCTATTCTGAAACCGAAAATAGCGTTTCTAAAATCTAGAAAAATCATTTTAACACCCCCGAAAAGGCCTGTAAAATTAAATAAAACTAAATTTTCAGTGGCCCTACGTGGCGCTGACCCCATCGACCGTACCCCGTCGCTACATCCCCGATTATTTGAGGACGACGGCCAGGCGGATTAAGGAGGCGCAGAAATAGACGAGTGATCCTAAATTCTCTGCTCAAAGTTCCAAACGTCCTTTAAAGACCCTTTTTTTCTTTTGGGGTCTTTTCAAGCGCGTACTAATTGTCATTTTTGCCATTTCCACATTTATTCCATTTTTGTTTGTTTTTTTCCGGCTCTTTGGAATCTTTTTCCCCTTTCCAAGCCAAATCTTAAGCCCACGTCTACTGTATGTTCTGTATTGTACTGTATTATCCAAAAAATTCGGTGCTTTTTTTGCTTTATTGTTTTCTTGCCATTATTGATTTATGCAAATACAAATACCAAAAAGAAATAAGCACATTAAATTTAACGTTACATTTTATGGCATTTAAATGTTAAATGATAAACGATTACGACATGAAATTACGCCACTAAAAACGCATCAAAAAAATCAAATAATTTAACCCGCTCTTTTGCTGAGATATCGGGCGGCCCAGAAATGATTGGGGGAGAATCATCGGCATCACAATTATTATTTAGTTAGATTTTGAATCAAATTGTTGTAGCTAATGCATATTTTAATTTAATTAATGAAATGAATGGAATCGAGTATTTCATATTAAATTAAATTAATTAAATCCCGCGCTAAAAAGTACCGTACGTCTTTGATTTCCCTTTCACATGACACCCGTCTGCTTGAAATTCTCGGCGATGATCATGTCGGTGACGGAGGTGAGGACGAGTTGAACCTGGAAAATGAGGGGAGGTTAGCAGAGATCATTAACGAGAGAGGGCGAACTAGCAGAGAGCATTCAGGAACTTGATCGCCAGGTAATATAGATTCTTGAGGAAACCAAGGCGTACTAGCAGAGATCATTGAGGAAACAAATCCGAGGCAAACAAGCAGAGAACATCTAGGAAATTGCCAAAAAGGTAGCAGAGATCTTTGTGGAAACCCGGGTGGGGCAAGCTAGCAGTTTCTTTGAAAACCGTGACCACGCTAATCTTGAGGAATTGGAATCGAGTCGTTTGACGAGACTTTAGGAATTCAGTAAGCCAGTAGGCAAGCTAGCAGAGATTTTGAAAATCCTGAGCAAGCTAGCAGAGAAGCTTTGCGGAATTTAGGACGCAACCTAGCCGAGAGTCTTCAAAACAGTCCCGAGAAAGCTATCAAAGAAGCTTTCCAGAATTTCAAGGGACAGGCTAGTAGCGATGCTTTAGGATTTCCGGATTCGACTAGCACAGATCCCTTAGGAAATCAGGGCAAGATAAGGCAGGCTTGCAGAGATAAAATCCGGGGAAACAAGCCGAGACAATTTGCGGAATTTCAGGAGGCAACCTAGCAGAGATTCTTGAAAAAAGTGAAAGAGGGCAAACTAGCAGAGTTCTTTGATACCTGATTCGTGTCCGTAGCGCAAGTTATATGGATGTAGAGCATCTTATCCGGGTCGGCATTTAGGTGTAGGAAGCGCTTTTCCATGTATTCCGTGCACTCCTCGTAGCTGTTTGTGCCTGCAAAAAAAGCGTTAAAATGGCTTACAAGCACCTTTCAATTTTTAAAAAATTTAAAAAAATTTTTAAACCCGAAAAATGACTTCCAGATTTCTTTTAAACCTCAAAAACTGTTTAAAAATCACTAACTGTACCTGTATATTTGGTGAAGCATATGGAAAGCGGAACCCTCGTGATCTTCTCGGCAAAAAGATCCTTTTTGTTCAGGAATAGAATTGCCTGGAAATGGAGTTTTAAAGGGGCTATGAAGAAAAAACAGCTAGAGCTTAGCACGGCAAGCTAGCAGAGATCATTTGAGGCTAATTCCCAAAGAGTCGCTGCTAGATTACCATCTAAAAAGGCCCCTAGCAAAGATTCTTTAGGAAATCCTGAGCTGCGACGACCTCAAAGAAACCCGCTAGCCTGCCCGGTTTCTTGAGTTTCCCTACCGATCGCTGCTAGCCTGCCCACACAAAAATCCATGCTAGCTTGCCTGAGTTTTCCCCCAAAAATCTTGCTTACTTACCCAAAATATTTATTTTTTCAATTTCCTCAATAGCTTGCCTAATTCCTCAAAAAACTCTGCTGGAGTGCGTGAATTTCCCCAAAGAAACTCCGCTAGCTTGCCTCATTCCTCAAAAATCTCCCTTTCTCTCACCTGTGCCCTCCTCAAATAGTCATTGTTGATGATGTCTTTGAACAGAATCTGCGAGTCTCGCAATCGATTCTAAAAAGACAGTACGTTACTGTACTAACAACACCCTTACCGTAACCCCATCCTCTCTCAGCGTTTGATCATATTCTGAGATTGCGACGACAAAGAGGAGCGCGTCAACACTGTCGAAACAGTGGATCCACTTCCGGCGCTCCGATTTTTGGCCGCCGACGTCGTAGATCCTCAAAAATAAATTTAAACTAATCGTGTTTACAAACTACAAAATTTAAAGCAAAAAAACTAGCAAACAAACAGACTACAAAATCATAAAAACTTGCTTAAATCAACTTTTCTGAGTTTTTAAGTTCAAAACGGACAATCTCTAAGGGAGTAGGATAAACTACCAGCTACAAAACAATGAAAACTACAAACATTTGAAATTTTTGTAGTTTATTGTCTAAATTAAACGTCAGAAGACCGAATGCGAGATACTACAGTCTACAAAACGCTCCAGGGGGCAATCTAGCCGAGAACATTGAGGAAATGCCGATAAAACTTAAAAAGCCACCTACTTGAATTCGATCTCCTTATACGTGTATCGTATCTCTTGTACACCACTCGTCGCGACGCGTGTCATCAGAATATCCTGGACCGAGGGAATGTAGTGGGGCCGGGAGGTGCGCTCGACGGCCTCGAAGAAACTGAAAAATACACTTTGTAAGATTAAAAAAAACGATTTTTAACTAATTTTTAAAACGTAAAAAACCGAAAATTTCATTCTGAAACTGCCAAAATTACATTTATATCTAAAAAAATCGAGAAAAATTTGGTTTTAAAACTTCGAAGGCGCTAAAATCTATTTTTTTGGTTTTGAACAAGAATAAAACTCACTAAACGGCACTGTCGTTGAGCTGGAATTCGCTGCGACGCTCGTACGCGGCGCGAATTCCCTGAAAAAAAGATGATAAATTGGGTTTTAAAAGCACCGTGAAGACGAATCTCCGTCTGCTTTCTCCGGTCCTTTAAATTTAAAAAAAATCAAAATTACATGTTTTTTTTCACTTTTAATGACACTAGGAAGGCAAATCTGTAGCAAATCTTGCCTTCCCGGGTTCTTTAACTCTCAAAAACGTTGAATTTTCGTTCTTTTTTAATTGTAAAGACACTAGGAAGGCAAACGGAGGCTAGGGAATTGCCCTAGACTACCAAAAACGTGTAATCCACAGATTTTTTGTAAAAATTTGCCTTCCCGATGAATCTCAAAAAAAAAAGTTGAATTTTCATGCATTTTTCGATTTTAAAGGGGCCAGAAAGGCAAATCTGCGGTAGAATCTGCCTTAGGAAGCCCTTTAAAAGCTAAAAATTCCTACCTTATCATCCCACAGTGCCTTGATCGAGTTACAGACATCTTCAGTGATCGGATCCCAGTCCTTCTTGTCACCGACCGTCTTCTTGATCAACTCCAGGTGGCGCTGAAAAAAGTTACAACTTATTTTCGAACCTAACTCCCAACGAATCTTTAGATTTCCTCCAAAATCCCTGGCAGCTTGCCTCGCCAAGAAATTTCGGAATTTCCCTAAGAATCTCCGCCAGCTTTCCTGAAAAATCGGTGCTTGCTTGGCCCTGTTTCTGAAATTGTCTCTGCTAGCCTGCCCTCGTTGGATCCTCTCTAAAACTCCTCAAAAATCGCTGCTAGCTTGCCTTGCCCAGAAATATCCCAATTTCCCTAAACATCACTGCTAGGGCTATGTCCGTCTTCTGTATATCCTCTCCAAAATTCGTCAAAAATCGTTGCTAGCCAGCCCCATTGCATCAAGAATCCCTGCTCGCTTGTCCGGTCTCCCCGATTTTCTCTTAAAAATTACTGCTAGCTTGCCCCATTTCCACAAGGATCCCTGCTCGCTTGCCAAAACTACAATCTCGTTTCATATTCGTGCAGACAACCTTTTGACGTCAAATTCTGTCCGGCTACCATAAACATATTTTTCCCCCCTCGCAATTCGAGTTTTAAAACACTTTTCTGGGTCTCAGAACGTGCGCGTAAATTGGGAGAACGATTCCCGTGGGAATGCCTCGTTACGTCGCACCAATTTTTCAGGTTTTTCAAGGAAAACGAGGGCTGTACTCATTCTAAATTCGCATGGCAATTTGGCAAGTCGGCAGGAAAGTGCAGATCAGACATTCACATTTCACAGGATTCGGGGGAGGGCAGGCTGGCAGAGAGCATTCAGGAAATACAAGTCTGATTTTTAATTTTAGGAGAATTTGCGGAGATAAATCATCGAAGGGCCAGCTAGCAGAGACTATTGAGGAACTCAAAAATCAAAATTTTTTGTTTTTAAGGTATTTTGAAGGTAAATAAACTAGAGACAGACTAGCAGAAAACGTTTTATTTCTTATTTCGTTCGAAAATCTGCTTTTTTTTAATTTTACAGGAATTACCGGCTCTAAATCTTCGAAGTGCAAGCTAGCAGAGCACCTTGAGCAATTCAAAGTTCAAATATTTCGTTTTAAAGAGATTTTGAAGGCAAATCGGAGGAGGACAGGCTAGCGGAGAACCCTGAGGAATTAAAAAATTGAGAGCTGCGAAGTTAACGGGGCCTTCAAGGCAAAACTTTCGATTTGCTGGTTTTCAAGCCTGTTTAGCCATCAAAAATACCCAGAAATTACCATATTCTTATCGAGCACTTGGTACCCGATCCTCTCCAGCCCACAAATCAGCATGTACATCGACTGGACGGTGTTGTTCCACACCGCTTCGCGACGGGCCACCTTCTCCGCGTCGGTGAAGCCGTTGTTGTGGATGATTCTGGAATAAAATATGCATAAAGTCGATTAAAAAGAGAGAGTACAGGCTACAAAACCTCTCAAAAATCACTGCTAGCTCGCCTAAGTGACCGAAATCCCTCCAAGTATCACTGCTAGCCCAGCCATAAAAAGTCTACAAGCTACAAACTACAGAATTCTCTAAAAACCTGTGCTTGCCCGCCTGAATTCCTCAGAATTCCGCAAATGATCCCTGATAGCTGTCGGCAAAAAATCTCGAAACTTCAAACTATAAAATTCCCCAAAAATCGCTGCTAACCTGCCTGCCAATGTCAAAATTCCCTAAAAAATCGCTGCCAGCCTGCCTGAAAATGCAATATTCCCCAAAAATCTCTGCTAGCTTGCCGGAGGCGTCGGAATTTTCCGCAAGAATTGCTGCTAGCCTGCCCCATAAAATTCCGACAAGCTACAAGCTACCTGCTAGGCTACAAACTCCAAAACCCCAAAAAGAAGTCAATGCCCACCTCATCTGCTTGAGCACAGTACTCTTTCCGGATTCGCCGGGACCTAGAGAAAAGAATTAAAAATTGACCCCGCTACCGTATACCTAGCAACAAGAGCTTGATGACCGTCTTATCATTTTCCACATCTTTCCGCAGCTCGTCCTCGATTTTTCGATGTGTCTCCTCTTGGCTTTTCATAGTCTGCAAAATCCCAATGATTCTAAGCACGATCGGCTACAAACTGCAAACTATAGAAATCCATAAGAATACAGACTACAAACTACAAAACCCGGGGGCTACAACCTACATATTTCGAGCGTTTCAGCAAGGCAAAGCCGCGCTACAAAATGCAAAATTTAAGCGGGGATTCACGGGAAAGTACAGGCAACAAAGTACAAATTCTGAATTTTTGGTGAAATATGACGTCAGGCTACAAATTACAGTATAATCAGAGAGTAAAAACTACAAAAAATACGAGAAACTTACAGCCTTCTCCTCATCGGTCAACGACGACGAGCAGACGCCCATGATGGCTGCGCAGAAGAGAGAAAGACGACACCTGGAAATTTTACTTTAAATGTAGATTTTAAAGGAATTCGTAAGGCACAATCAAGGGCGACTAGAAGCGATCATTTGGGAGCTAAAAATATTAGAGGGCAAGCTAGCAGGGATCAGTTAAGGAGTGTTTCCAACCCGCCAGACAAGGACACTATTTTCCCCTGAGACCGGTGATTGAAAAGTTGTGAAATTTTGTAAATTGCAGGGGATGTAGAGGGGAGTCGTTCTCATGGAAATTAGCGAGAGAGAGAGAGAGAGAGAGAGAGAGAGAGAGCGATAGAGAGCGCGAGCGAGCGAGAGAGATAGAGCCGAAAAATACTAATGACAATGTGGAGGGCAGAGGAAAAAACGGGACGAGATAACCAGTGGGTGCGAATGTAATGCGGAAACTTTGGCGGAAATCGAATTTCCGGCAAGCTAGCAGAGACGATTTTCGAAAAGCGGCTTCTAGGCAAGCTCGCAGAGAATTTGGGGGAAATCGGATCCTAGGCAAGCCCGAGGGAGAGCAGCTAGCCGGGATCATTGCGGAATTAGAAATAGGCAGGCTAGCAGAGACTATCAAGGAATTGGAGAGAGGCTAGCTAGCAGATACCATTTATGGAAAATGGCTCCCTCGATTGACTACAGCAAAACAAGCGAGAATGGAACCAAGGGCCAGGCTGAGCAATTCGGAATCATGAGACAGAGAGAGAGAGCGAGAGAGAGATAGGGCGAGAGACAGGGAGCAGGTGCAACTTCCCACACGCGGCTTCTAATTTAGCCCTTTGGGCATAAACTCGAGAATGGAAGGGGATGGGAATGAGCTTTTTACTGACCAGAAGCGGATGGGAATAGAAATAGGGGCATGCTAGCAGAGAGAATTGAGGAGACTAGGGAGGCTAGCATGGATTTTTAGGAATTTTGAGCTCTCCGGCTAGCTAGCAGATATTTTTGAGGAAACTGAGGTAGGCCAGCGGGGCAATTTAGGAGCACGAGGGCAGACTAGCAAAGCACTTTGAGGAACCTTCGGGGATCTAGCAGCGAAATTTTAGAAAATGGGGCAGGCTAGCAGAGGTGCCTTGAGGAATTCTAGGGGAGGTGGAAGAGATTGTTGAGGAATGGGCAAGCTAGCAGAGAATTTTTAGCAAAACAAGGCAGGCCAGCACAAACAAATTATAAAATTGGGGCAGGCTAGCAGAGATTTTTGAGGAAATGGGCTAGGTAGCAGAGATTTTTTGAGGCAAAAATCGAGGTGACGACTGAACGGTGCTCTCAAAAATTACCGTATACCAGCAAAAAATAAGTTCAAAAACAGGTTTTTCGAAAGGGAAACGAAGTGGAAAAATATGCACTTCGCCTGGATTTTCCGAAAATTACGAAAACGAAAGACTCTTGGAGACCCAATTTCGGGGCAAGCTAGCAGAGACCCTTTGCGGAAACTTCTTTCTTTTCCGGCTTGTGGTCCCTTTTTGCTCAAAATCACCAAAAGTCAACACTTCAAAAAATCATAGCAATCACACCACGGCCTCTCAGATTTCAGTCAAAACTGTTTTCGGCACTATTTTTGCTGCTCTTTCATATGCAAATGACAAAACGATTTCGCACGGTTAATTTCCCGCGAAATTAGCCTCGGAAGGTATGGCCGATGAGGGGGGAGGGGGGCTTGCGCGGTGCCGAGTTGCAACTTCAAAAAATCATAGCAACCACACTAGGGCCTTTCGGGTTCCAGTCGAAACGGTTTTCGGCACTATTTTTGATGCTCTTTCAGATGCAAATTGAATTGCGTGTTGAAAACGCCTGATTGTTCGCAAATAGGCCCCGGAAGGAAAAAGGGATTTTGCAAGTCTTCAAAAAAACCATAGCCACTCAACCCGCGCCTTTTCTGTGTTGAACCAAGCGCTTTTAGGTACTATTTTTGATGCTCTTTCGAATGGCACCATTCGCTACGATCAGATTTCGCGATTTTTATCACTACGATGTGCAAAAGTACCCTCAAAGTGTCAAAACCGCTCTCGCGCTACGCAAAAGCCAATTCTCGATTTATAAAAATTCTATAATTTTACAAAAATTACTCTAAAGCGTGTTCCCACGTAATTAGCTAGAGGGCAATCTAGCACAGACCATTTGGGAATTTCGTTATGCTTTGGCAGGCTAGCAGAGAACATTTGAGTGCGCCCCGCTCCGGGCTAGCTAGCAAATACTCTTTGCGGAAATCCTTTAATTTCCCAGGCTCATTTAAAATGCAAAATTGTATAGTGGGAGCCGAATGCACGATTGGAATCTTGGAAGTAGTGGCTAGGGGGGAAAGTCAATTAACTTCTCAAGTGAATATCACCTGTCTTTGCGGGACCCCTTAAAACCGAGAATACGCCAGAATAACAAATTATAGCGCTGGCCATTCGGTTAGGTACAAGCAGGGTTGGTCATTTTCGGATCGGACTGGATCCGGATCTGGATCTGGATCGGATCCGGATCCGGATCCGCCGTAGGATCCGGATCCGGATCCAGATCCAGGGCGGATCCGATCCGATCCGGATCCAAGGAAATGGATCATGCAACCGAGTTAAGTGCTAATTCTTAGATGCAAAGATCAGTTCTGCATCTGGGCTATGTATTTTTGCGATTAACATGACCGAATCAGCATCAGAATCGAGAATATTACTTCCGGTCCCTTTTTTCCTCGGATCCGCATTGGATCCGGATCCGAGCGGATCCGGATCTGGATCTGGATCCGGATCCTACTGCGGATCCGATCCGGATCCGGATCCAGATCCGATCCGGATCCTTACCGATCCGGGTCCGTCGGTGAACAACCCTGGGTACAAGGCTACTGTAATTTGGCTCGCTGATGCCGGAATTAAAAGTACAAAATATTAGGAAAATCATAAAAAATAAAATACGCTATTAAATAAATAAAAATCCTTCAAATCGAATTAAATTAATTTTGTAAAACCCTTAGACTAAATTAAATAAGCTCTAAGTATCTCAAAAACCTTGAAATCAATTAAATCCCCTAACATCAAACTAAATTAAAATCCGAATAAATGGTTCGACAGACATTAATTTTAGTTTAAATTCTACTAAACTAAATTTACTTGCTAAGCCAAATACATTTCCTAAGAAATCTAAATAAAACTAAAAATCTGATTTTTAAAAAAGCTAAAAACATCACCAAATCTGTAAAAATCAAAAATACTTTACTATTAAATGAGTTCTAAGCATCAAAAATAAGAGAAAATATATTTTCAATAATTTGATCGCATTGATTCACTTCATTTAATATCAATTCCACCGAAATCGTCACGAAATTTGAGAAATTATTAATTTCCAAGCGTCCAGGGATCCTACGAATTTCGAGCCCATTTTCAAGACTAAAATTGGGACAAAAATTGTCAAAAAGTGCGCGACAGTACAAAGTACAGCTCCTAGGAATCTCTTGGGATGAAACGAAAATGATTTTCACTCACTGGGGAATTTTTCAGCGAATTTTTCAGGCCAAATACGAGGGTTCGGCCCGGTCGAAAGTACGTAGATGAACAATGTACGAAAAACTAGAGGAATGTAGCAAAGATCCTTTAGGAATGTTCTAAAATACCTCGGCAAGCTAGCAGAGATCTTTTGGGACTCGATTTCTCAACGAAAATGATTATAAAGGACCACTGAAGACCAAAATCCACAAGGCACGCTAGCAGAAGCCATTTGGCAACGGATTCCTAAACCTAAAAATTGTTTTAAAGGAAAATTCAAGCCAAAAATGTCTATGCAAGCTAGCAGAGATAATTTCGGATTTGATTTCCAGTCGAAAACCTAATTTTCAAGGCCCACGGAAGCCAAAAATACAGAGGGCAAGCTAGCAGCTACCCTTTGCGGAAGCGATATTCGAGCCCTAAACAAGTGGCCGGGAGAGTTCCGGGGGCAGTGGATCCGGGTTGGTTGCTGCTGCTCTGGCCGAAATGAGCGCACCGCGAAATTCTGATGGGTAAAAGAAGATGAAAAAAGTAGTGCTGGGGCGAGAGAGAGGGAGAGCGAGAGCGAGAGAGAGAGAGAGAGAGAGAGAGAGAGAGAGAGAGACAAAGTGTGCCCCCGAGGGGGGACAAAATTGGAAACGAGGGGCCCAGCGGGGCGTAGATGGGCGCCGTTGATTCGAGTCGGCGGGACGAGCACAAATTTAAACCGGGCAGCGAATTAGGGTGGGCGGGGAATTCTTAAATGGTCTCTGCTAGCTTGCCAATTTTGGGGTGGCTAGCAGACACCATTTGACAAAATTTTTGTTTGGCAAGTTAGCAGAGACCATTTACCGAATTCCTAAAATGATCTCCGCTAGTCCTTCACTACGCTTAATTTTCATTTACAGTACAATTGCGTAATTTGACGCGTTTCGGAATTTTTCCCCAAAAATCGCCGATTGCCATTTTGGGCGTCATTTGTAGCCCCGGGTAGCCTGCCACGGTAATTATAGACTGGGCGGTGTGGAGAGACGGGTTCAATTCCGCCGAAAACTCGAACCCGGATCTTTGAAGCATAAGCCTACGCCTAAGCCAAGTCTAAGCTAAGACTAAGACTAAATTCTAACCTAAGCCTAAGCCTAAGCCTAAGCCTAAGCCTAGGCCTAAGCCTAAGCCTAAGCCTAAGCCTAAGCCTAAGCCTAAGCCCAAGCCTAAGCCAAGCCCAAGCGTAAGCCTAGAAATCGTATAGGTCATTCCTAGAATGAAGTAAGCGAAGCCTAACGCACGTTGCTTGCGAACGAAGCCAATTTATGAAAACTGACGCGCGTCCTTGGATTGGCTTTGTTTCGCCAGAGACCAATCAGGCGAAAAGAAGACGCTACTGACCCGGTTCTTCCAGGGTTCACTGACCAAAGAAACGACACCTTAAAAGGTTTGAAAAGGGGCAAACGAGCAGAGATCTTTGCGGAATTTTTAAAGCGGCAGGAAAGGCCAGAAGAATTTAGATAAGTCGACTTCCGACGTAGTATTTGTGCGTAGATTCCGAAAATCGTCGTAAGAAGCGCTCGCTCTGGACAAAATTCCACGAAACGTGGCCTGAAAGCATCAAAATTGCTCTAGAGAGAAGAGAAACCTAGTTCTCGATTTATAAAAATTTTGTAATGCTACAAAAATTGTTCTAACGCGTTTTTCGACGTAGTTTTGTGCGTAGATTCCGAAAATCATAGTGAGAAGCGTTCGCTCTGGGCAAAATAACATGAAAGGTGGACCCATAGAGGGGGTCAAAAATCGGCGAAAATGCTGCCATTTCCGAAAGTAACGTATCCGGAAAAACGAGGGCATTATTTTGGCGGCTGATCGCAACTAGGGGGTAATTACCGTACCTCCGAAACTGAGGCTATATTTCTCAAAACCGGCAATTTCCGAGAAGCCGCCGAATTTTTACGAACTCGGAATTTTTTTCATGTTTACGCTTTGGAAATTGGTCTTTACTGTAGTGAAAAAATCTCCAAGAATCTCTGCTAGTTTGCCCGTTTTTTTGGAAGCTGCGCCGGCTAGCAGAGATCATCTAGGAACTCAAACCGTTCCATTTTTGCATTGCTCTGTCTTTAAAAAAACAGCAAAATAGCTTTAAAATTACTGTAGTCTCTACCCCATTATCGTATTTGTCATCTTTGCGTTTTCCCCCGACTTTTCGAATTTTTAATTTTTATTTCAATTTTTTTGATGCAAACCACGTATCGTATATCCACACACGTCACAAAGAACACCAAAATCTCAATAACAAAATTTCAAAGGTGAATTTTTGCATTTTTAAGGGTCGTTGAAGGCAAAAATCGCTGTGGATTTGGCTTCAACGGGTCTTTAAAACGCCAAATGCACTCGATAATGGCATTGAAAATCAATTTAAAATAATAAAATTAGATCTGGTAAACTACAGACTACACGCTGCTCCTATGGACACAGGGAAATTAAAGGGGAAGGAGGGGAGGGCCCGTCTTTGTTTGAGAGGAAATCTTTAAAAATGGGCTAGAAAATCGAGGCAAATGGTCTCTGCTAGCTTGCCCGGGTCGGTAAATCGATTTCCCCAAAAATCCATGCTAGCTTGCCTTTCTTCGACTTTCCATTCCCTTTAAAATACAAATTGCAGACAACTAAATTTTTAGAGCTTTTTAAAGGACCATTGAAGGCACAGAAAAAAAAGGGGCGGAGCTAAAACGGGGGGCTGAAAGACGGGCGACAAAACGGTCGGGGCAACTCGCTAGGGCTCGAGACGATGATTTTCCCATTTTAAAGGGCCGGTGAAGGCAAATCCAAAGCTTTCGCTGGCTTCAATGGCCCTTTAAACGGACTGAACACTATGGTACAAAGAAAATGGGCTTAAAACTATCAAAAACTACTCATAAACCCAAAATAAACATTTTAAAGGCACCGACAAGTGTGTTTTTCTATAGATTTTGCCTTGCCGGTGCCTTTAAAGTGGAAAAACCGGGTAGAATACACAGAGATAGGCGCATTAATGAGAGGTTTCTGAGAAGAAGAAAAAAGGGGACCCGGCGGGGATGTGTCCAAAAAATGATAAAACTTAAAAATTCAAAAAATTAAACTCGACTACGCGCTACACCTAACAACAACCAAAACATGGTAAAAATCGACTAGGCTGAGCGGCCTAAAATACACGAATTTCATTGCGTAATCGAATAATGGAGGCGGGAATACATGGCGTAATCAATTTAGAGGAATTTTCATGGCGTAATCGATTGATTCGGAGGGATAGAAAAAGGTGGCGTAATCGATTACGACATGGTTTTGAAGCAGTTCGGAGGAGTTAAATTGCGTAATCGATTAAAAGTGGATTTAATAGTGTAATCGATCGCTTCAGGTAACTAGAAAACCTGGCGTAATCGATTACGGCATCTTTTAAAGAAGTTTTTAAGCTTTTACTAGCGTAATCGATTAAACCCTGGCAAATTTCGGGCGTTTTAAAGGGACGTGTAACCCAAAAACCCTCGAAAAGTACCGTACTCTAGCAGAAGACCTCCTCCTCGTGATCGACCACCAGTTGATCGCCATCAAAAGGGGCGGGGCCTTGGGTGGGCGTGGCTTGGCTGGGGGGCGGAGCTTGTTGGTGTTGTTGCTGCTGCTGTTGTTGCTGTGCCTTTTGCTGCCGCATCGCCTGCAGATTGGAGAAGTTCCGAAACTGGGCCATGTATTGGCGTTGGTGTTGGGTGTGTTGCGAGATTCTGAAATACAAAAATAAAAAATTAAGCATAAAATGATTGGGCTTTTCCGCTAAAAATCCCAGCTAGTTTGCCTAAAGCAACAAAGATCTAAAAATTCTCAAAAAATCATTGCTAACTGGCCTCTGAGGCGATTTTAAACTGATTCCTAAAGGATCACTGCTAGTCAGCCCATCGAAAATTTGCCAAAAAATTCCTCAAAAATCCCTGCTAGCTAACCATGCATCAAAAAAAGAAAAATCGTTTCAAAGAACCTCTGCTAGTTAACCTGGTTTGCAAAACGTCTCAAAATTCTTCCTAGATGATCTCTGCTAGCCTGGGACCCAAAATTTGCATCATGCCTCAAAAATCACTGCTAGCCCTCCAAATTCGTAAAATCTTTGAGAATCTCTGATAGTTGCCCTGGTCTCGAAAAACATTTATTTTACTAAAAAATTTCAAAAACTACAGTACCTCCTCTGCGCGAGCGGCGGCGGGGTACGGTAGATGCGTTCGCCGAGGAATGCCGTGCCCCTTCTCTCGAATTGCTGGCGATCATCGGTGCGGCCGAAGCGGAGCCTGAAAATGGAGAATTCGAAAACAGAAAAACTACGAACCTGTATGGCACTCCCTGTTGTGGCGGACATCTATGACCGGCTCCAAGGGCGAACACCTCCCGCGCACACAACGCTTCCGTATCGGGATGTACTGTCCACCACGACCCAGCCTCGTTCATCACCAGGAAGTCTTTGCGGGGCTGAAAAATAGGGTTAAAATGAAAATTCAAAATTTCCTAAAGAATCCCTGCTAGCCTGACCGCTCTGGATTCTGAAATTGTCTTTGCTAGCCTGCCCTAGCCTAATTGCAGCAATTTTTTAAGGCCCGAAAGCTCCGTTTTTCCACAAATTCCCTCGGTTAGCCCGTCGCGTTCCCAAGAATTCCTGCTCGCTTGCCTCAATCTCCACAAGAATCCCTGCTAGCTGCACAAAAACACCTCCTCAAATTTTTCGCGAATCCCACCCCTAGTCTCTAGAATTCCCAAAGGGTCTCTGCTCGCTTACCCCCAAATTCCCAAAGATTCTCCGCTAGCTCGCCCTCAAAAATCACTTACGTTCGGCGTCAATACGCGTACAAACACGGCGCTCGACATCAAGCAGTGACGAATCGACTGTCGCCAATGCCGCCCGTGGGCTGTTGTCGGGTTGGTGAACTAAAAAATGAATATTTATTTAACGAATAACAAAAAATTATTAAAAAATTTCTTGAAAAAGTTAAAAAATTCAAAAAAGCGAATTTCAACCTTCTCGAACTTCAAAATGTTACAAATATCATACCACCTAAAAACCAGTTTATAAAAAGCTAAAAAGCAACATTTTAAGTATAAATTTAAAGGCTTACCGTCTCTTCGAATACTTCAAAGATTCCATTCAACGGAAGGGCCCGATATTCGGCGGTGAGCAGCGTGCGGAACAGCCAGCACACCATCGTACACTCGCGGAGCCGCTTACGCACTGAAAATCCGAGGGTTAAAGGGAACGTGACAGCAGGAATTTGAGCATTTTCATGTCGTAAATGGTTAAGTGATCTTAAAGGGACCGTGACGGCAGAATTATCAAAATTGTCATGTCGTAATCGATTGGAAAACCGTTTTAGGGCAGCGTAACAGCAGGAACTTCAGGATTTTCATGCCGTAAATGGATGGATAAGAACTTTAATGGAGCGTGACATACAGATTTGGTTGCGTAACAGAATCGTAACCGTACAATTTCATCGCGTAATCGGTAGGAAAAACATCGCTTTAAAGGCGCAGCGACAGCAAAATGCAGTGATTTTTATAGCGTATTTTAGAAAATACTTACTGAGTATGGGCTTCTTGAGGAAGGGGTTCGTCGACGGGGACGCCGAGCTGGCCGACGAGCTGGAGCCGTTCGGCTGCCCGTTCTCCAGCTTTGGATGAATGTGGCATTGGGGGGATGAGGAGGCGGAGGATGAGCTCGAGCTGGAGGGGGATGTTCGGAGCATCTGAAACTCAAATTCAAAAAATCGAATCAGGATGAAGGCTACAAAATACACCTAGAAACGCTTCAAAAGCAAAAACTACAAACTACAAACCTGTCCTTTCCTTGCTGCCATCGCTCTCGCCCTTGGCCCCTGATCGTCGCATTGGCAGGCGGAAACTGCAAAAATGATATTTTTGAAGTCTTCAAACCAAAGACATTTTTTAATTTTAAAATCATATCCTACTATATATAAAAAAATAGTGTCTGTGTGTGTGTGTATATTTGCATGCAACTTCCGTAAGTATGTACCGCACCTACAGCCTCAGGGGAAGGTTTTTAAGGTACGTATGATACGTCATTAGGTGCGTAATGGTCCCGAGATGGGTGCACACATATAAAATTGAAGAAAATCGGCTGTTTTCGCTATTAAAATTAAGTTTTTGTAAATATATCTAAAAACCTCTTTGTTAGGAGGCAATTAGCATTGACCGGAAGTGGCCGTAGCCTATAAAAATGGAGGGAGCGTGCGCTTTTCATTTTTTGGTGAGCGGCATTCGGCAAGCCCTATGGAAAGTCAAATTTTCAGAAGTCCTAGACGGGTCCAGGGTTGAAAAGCCGCGAAGCGGTTTTTCAACCCTGGTGCAATTTTAAAAATTTAGAAACTTACTGTGCTGCATCATCTCCTGGGTGGCCAGCATGGGCCCCTGATTCTCCTGATGTCGAGCGGGGGCTTCTTTTGAAGGGAAAGAAGGCGATGAGGAGGAAGAGCTCGTGGAAGAGGGCTGACGGGATGCGGATTCTGAAAAAATAGGGTTGAATGGGGTCAAAAAATCCTTCAAAATCTTTGCTCGTTACCCCGTCAGGTTCCCTTTAAAACAATACTCTCTGCCAGTTACCCATCCAAACCCGAGAAAAAACTGACCAGAATTCTGCATAAAGTATCTGGATAGTAGCGCCGGTTCGAGGGCCCCTTGTTGTGGCAATTGTTGTACCATCATCCCCCCATTCTGATGGGCGTTATTTGTTGTATTTTGTAGTCCATTGGTCCGCCTCGGATCTTTCTCGGGTCTTCCCCTTCTCCTTGGTGGTTGACCGGGGGGTTTTCCGTGTTTTGGGGTGACGAGGGCCGTTCGTGTCGACACCTGAAGGGATTGATTACGATAGGAAATTACGAGAGAATCGATTACGCTATGTAATAGCTCAAATTCCCAACCAATTACGCCGTTAAATCCATTTCACTAACCGGCGGTCGTCTCCTCGGCCTTGTCGATACATTGGCTGTGGCTGGGGACGTCTCCAGCTTGATCGAGTTTCCGGTTTTCCGGACGAGAGGGTCGGCCTGCTGAGGCTGAAAAATGCTTCCGTGGAAATTTAACTTTTTAAATATCTAAAAAGCCCTGCGGAAATAGAAAAACCTATGCAAATTTTGTGAAAATGACCTGTTGCGGTGGGAGCATGGAGTTGTGCAACGACTGCGTGGAGGTGGCCGCTTGATTCAGGAATCCGTCGATGAACGGGTCGCCGAATTGGAAGTCGGATTCCGACATCGAGGGGCTGCCTGGAAACGGAAAATTTATATCATAAAACTAGCCCGAAACACCCTCAACAAATACACAAAAAAATCCAATTTTTTTAGTAAAAATTGTCGTGTTTTTAATTTTCCAAATTGCTAGAAACTTCTAAAATTTCTAGAATAATCCTAAAATCGTATAAAAAGTTCATTTGTGATTTTTCAAAACAGAAAGTCGTAAAAAATCCACTTTTAGATGCATTATGCTATGAAAATGCCAAAATCTCAAAATCGTAAATACGTATAAAACGTACTTGCAAACGAGTGGCCGGTCGAGTTGGTGCTGAAGAAATCATCGAGACCAGATGGGGATGAGAGGGACGAGTGGCCGGCGGAACCCAGATCCCACGAGAAGCCGTCATCTGGAAGTGGGTAAAATTCGATAAAAAATAGCAATTAAATTATTTACCTAAATAGATAATTTAATATTTTTATCATTGTCAAACACCTATTTAGCTTCCAGCTTCCAGCTCAAAAAAACGTGCGAAAATTCCCAAAAAATCACCAGCAATCGGCCATCCGCTTCCGGAACTCCCGGCAGCTCCTGAAGACGATGAAGCTGCTCCCCCGCTTCGAATCGGCGACTGGGGCGGGAATTCGAAGGCGAGATCCTTGTCAATCTCCAGATCTCGACTGATCTCGTTGAGGAGGACGGAACAGTCTTCCGAGAGGAGGGGAGAGTCTGAAAATATAGAAGAATCGAAATCATATATATCAAAATAAACCAAAAATCAAAAATTAAATTTTTTAAGGATTTTTAAGCTTTAAAAATTTACAATTTAGCTTATAACCCACCATTTAACAGATCATCCCCAGTGGGCGGCCCGCCATCGTCATTCCAATCGCAGTAGGCGGTGAACGGCTCGGTGGCGAGCAGATCGAATGCCCAATCGACGTCGCCGAGGTCGAGGGTGGATAGATCATCCATTCAATGGCTCGGGAACTGGCGATCGATCTGCAATTAATTAAATGCATTGAAAATTGGTATAACTACAAAACACATGGCCAGAAATGGAACTAATTGAAAAAATATTTTAGAAAATTACTAAATTTTTTTGTGAATTCTCAAGCAACTTCAAAATCCTGAAAATCGAAAATTAGCGCAAGCCTATCGATATGGCCGATTTCCATGGTCGACCTCTAACCCTAAGCCTAAGCCTAAGCCTAAGCCTAAGCCTAAGCCTAAGCCTAAGCCTAAGCCTAAGCCTAAGCCTAAGCCTAAGCCTAAGCCTAAGCCTAAGCCTAAGCCTAAGCCTAAGCCTAAGCCTAAGCCTAAGCCTAAGCCTAAGCCTAAGCCTAAGCCTAAGCCTAAGCCTAAGCCTAAGCCTAAGCCTAAGCCTAAGCCTAAGCCTAAGCCTAAGCCTAAGCCTAAGCCTAAGCCTAAGCCTCGGGGCGACCTTGAGGCGATTCAACTGAAAACCTTTGGGACCCCCTTCGCACTAGTGGGCCAGGTGGGTGGCGAGTGGGTGGGCGTTTCAAAGGGCCATTTAAGACAGGATTTCATAGCGTAATTGATTACAATTACCTTTCTGGCTTAATCAATCCATCCCCATCAGATTTTTCGCGTTTTAAAGGGACGCAGAAGGCAACAAAATAATGGCGTTCGTTTAGATACAAAATTTCACAAAAAAATTTAAAGAGGCCAATTTTGAGAGATTTTTGAGACCGTTTTGAAGGCGTAAACAAGGCGAAAAGGGGGAATAATCCAGTCTTTATTGGGAGAAACATAAAAAGAGGGGGATGGGTATCCGGGGAAACGGATGAAGCCTGCGCTGAAAAGAAGAGGTGTTCGCCTCCGGCAGTTTTTTAGTTGTATCGGGGGCCTGGCCGAGAGAGAGAGAGAGAGAGAGAGAGAGAGAGAGAGAGAGAGAGATAGAGCGAGCGACAGGGAGAGAAAGAAGGAGAGAGATACCGGAAAAACCGCCTCTAGAAAAAGGGCATGCATTTTTGAGGAGAAGCCGACAAGTTTGAGGCGGTTTAGAGAGTTATATCAGCTCAAAAATTCCCAAGAATCACCGCTAGCTCCCTCAAATGAATTCTGCTAGCCTGCCGGACCCAAATATCCTAAAGACGCACTGCTGGCTTGCTCTTGGCCACTCGAGTAAAAATATCCTAAAAAATCGCTGCTAGCTTACCAGTCTCTTAATTATAAAATGGTATTTGCTAGCCTGCCTAGCCTATTCATTTCCTAAAAATTGCTGCCAGCTGCCCCCTGGAGCTAGAATCCCTGGTTCTCCAAATGTGTTTGCTAGCTTGCCCTAGTCATTTCCTAAAGAATCGCTGCTAGCTTGCCCCAGGAAATTAAAAAAATCCATAAAATCAAGCTAATAAAATTTCCTCAAGAATCTCTGCTAGCCCGCCTTAAGAAAATCGAAGTTTTCTAGTCTGCAGTTTCCGCGAAACCCAAAAGATCAGCGTCTCGAGTCTCCTAGATGAGGGCAGCCAGGAGACAGTTGCCTTCCGTTTTGTTTGCCAACTCGTTGAGGTAGAGCGGGGAGAGAGAGAGAGAGAGAGAGAGAGAGAGAGAGAGAGAGAGAGAGGCGATAAGAAGCTCACAAAGGCACACGAAAAGCCTGGCGGGGTCCAACCGGGAGTTAGTTGCAAGCTGGAGAAACGCGATAAGTGATAGGAGAGGCTTGAAAATGCCACAAATTTACTTTTAAAAATGCTACGGCTAATTTCAGGCCCGGGCAAGATCATTTAGGAATTCAAAACGCACTAAAAAACTATCAAAAAATTAAAAACGAAGATTCCTACAAAAATTTTCAAAATTTTCAAACCACCAAAAACCAACTTTTCTAGACCAATTTTTTGTGTAGATTCAGAATCCGTACTCAAAATTTACCCCAGGTACTTGATTTTCAGAAATTTTTAAGCCTATTAGTCATTTTTAAACTTAAAAAAATCATGAAAATGACGATATTTCGAACAATTTCGTAGAAAAAAAACGCCGAAACCGGAAATGGGCGTGTATAAACCTGGGTGTTGACAAATTGCGGCAGAAGGGGCGGGCAAGAAGGCGAAAAACCAGAGAACGAACCCGGCTGGAGTGTCTCTTTTTAGAGCGGGGGGGAAGGGACTTGGACGGCCAGGGGAAACCAAGATAAAATCGATGGATAGCCAGGGCAAGAGGGTGATGGCCATTCAAAATATGGACCCTTCGAAAGGGCAAGCTAGCAGAGATTCTTTACGAAAAACTGGCTTTAAAAATGCTATTGACGCCGGCAAACTAGTGGAGATTCTTTGCGGAAAAAACGGCCCATGGAGCGCTAGCCGAGATTTTTGAAGAAACCAACTTTCAAACTTTTTGGGGGAGGGGAGCTAGCAGAGTTTCTTGAGGAAAGTAGCTCGAAACGAGCAATCTAGCAGAGACCCTTGCGAAAATTTTAGAGGGCACGGTAGCAGAGAGTGTTAGGAAATTAGGAACATCTTAGTTCTCGTAATGGGCCTTTAAACGGGCAAACTAGCAGAAACCCTTTGTGGAAAGCAAAACAAAATTAAGAGGCGAGCTAGCAGAGGAATTTTTGCGGAAATGGAGCTGCCGAGCGAGGGAGCTAGCAGAAACCGTTTGCGGAATCCGGCTCAAAAATAACGCAAGCCAGGCTAGCAAAGAAATTCAGGGAAATTTAGGACAATCAGCTCAAAATCAAGGCAGGCGAGCTAGCAGAGAACATTGTGGTAAATTGGCTTCCCGGAACCAAGCAAAACTAGCAAACACAATTGAGGAGATCAGCTCAAAATGAAGTAGGGCAAGCTAGCAGAGATTATTTTTGGAAAGCCAGCTCAAAAACCAAGGCAGGCAAGCTAGCAGAGATCATTTACCGCTGCAAAAATACCCCAGACACGCCAGGTGTTCGCATTCTAATTACAGTACCGTATAGTTTCGTAGTTTCTATAGCCCCCATTTTGGGCGTTCCAATTTTAGGCATTTTAGTCGCGCCGAGCGCTCAAAAAGCCACCTGGCGTCCCTGTTTTTTTTTTTTGGAAAACCCGACTGGCTGGTGCTCACTAATCGGATTTTCCATTTCCGAGCGCGTCAATTCACCCGGGTTGGCTAGTAAAATGTTTTAGGGGAGGTCGGAAAACAAGGGGAGGGCAATCCAGCAGATGTCATTGAGGAAGTGAAGGTAATTTACGATCCACAAGGCCAAAAATGCCAGAAAATTAGGGAAAGCGAGCAGAGATGCTTTGATGAAATTAACTTGAAATTTACGACCCGAACGGCCAAAAAATTCGAGAAATCAGGGCAGACTAGCAGAGATTCTTTGCGGATCGGCCCGAATTTTCGGATTCAAGCGTTAAAAAATCCCCAATTGAGATTCTTTGTGGAAATCGGACTGAATTTGGAGAATTTAGAGGAAAAACACCAGAAATTGGGGCAGGCTAGCAGGGATTTCGCGGAGCAGGACCCAAACGTAGGAGCAAGAGCTAAAAGTTCTGTCCGTCAGTCTAGCTGCCCTCCCGCTCCAAGAAAGTATGCCTCCTGTTCGGTGTAGAATTTCCTGGGGCCAGGACAGAACGACCCTTTGAGAGACAGAGAGAGAGAGAGAGAGAGAGAGACAGAGAGAGAGAGAGAGAGAGAGAGAGAGAGAGAGAGCGACAGACAGACACACGTCAGTTGCACATCATAGTCCTTTAGAACAACCGGCAGTAGCTCAAAAATTCGTCAGAAACCGATCACGGCATGAAAACGGGCTAGCTGCGGCTTGCTTAAAGAATCTCTGCAAGCTTGCCTATCCCCCTAAAGCTGTTTTGACATTTTAAAGGGCCCGGAAAGTCAGAATCCATAGCTTTCAAGGAGCACCGCGCCGAATATTTGGGCCTCGCTCCCCGCCCGGTGATCACTAAAAAGAAGTGATTTGAGCGTTCTCTGGGGTCAGTGTGACGCACGGAAGTGATGACAACCTGAACCAAAGTTCCTAGTTCCATAAAAAGAGCTAAAAAACATCCAAAACGATGAAAATAATGATGCAAACTAACAGTGATTCTTTGGGATTTGGGCATGCTAGCAAAGATTCTTTGGGTGAAGTCTTTAGGGAAAGCAAGCTAGCAAAGATGCTTTGGGATTTGGACATGCTAGCCGCGATACTTTACGGATTTCGGGTGGGCTAGCAGAGGATCTTGAGGAAGGCGCTAGATAGAAAGAGAGAGAGAGCGAGTGAGAAAGAGAGAGATAGAGAGCGAGAGAGAGAGATAGAGAGAGAGAGAGAGAGAGAGAGAGAGAGAGAGAGAGAGAGAGAGAGAGAGAGAAATACCCAACTCACAAAGCGTCTCCTAATCGAATTCCGGAAGCCGATCCGGCTAGAGTTTTCTAAGAAGTAACTGTTTTGGGGAGTATTTGGACCGGAGGGGAGGGATTGATATGTCTAGAGGAGCATAGAGAAAAAAGGTAGACAGATAAAGAAAAGACCCGGATCTCGATCAAACACCCAAAAAACGCCCCGGCAATTGTTCAGCTTCTCCCTTCTTTCAGGAAGAGATTTCCGGGGATAAGAGCTAGGGGCTAGCAAACGTCATTTGGGAAAGAGGGAGAGAGACAGGGAGAGGGAGAGAGAGAGTGAGAGAGTGTGAGAGAGAGAAACAGCCTAACTCTTCAAGGGGCAGCTGACTCTTGCTTGCCCCGCCGGGAGCTCGAGGTTTTTGTGCATTTTTCTGCCTCTCCGTCTCTCTCTCTCTCTCTCTCTCTCTCTCTCGCTTTGCAAGCTGAAGCCCGGATAAATTAATCTGTTTACCGGGAACTAGTTTTCAGGATGGGGATTACGGTGTAACGCTTTTTGATGGATTAGGTGGGTCGTCTAAATCCGGTTTCTAAAAAAATCTCGAAAAACTGGCTCTATACCGGTAACGGGGTCCTTAAAAAAAATAAGGGTCCTTAAAAAAAATAAGGGTCCTTCGAATTTCAGGTTAAGGACCCCCGTCCCGACAGTG